TATAAATATTTCACAAATATTGCACTTTTTTGGTAATTCAGATTTAACTGGGTGTTCTCTATTTTGACAGAATAAAGCTGCCAATCCTAGTCACAGTCTAGGGGCAGGCAGGCTCTAACTCAGTGTTGAAGGTGTGCCAATTCCTTCCAGTGGCATTCTCTTTTCTCTCTGTGAGAGGTTTGTGTTTAGAAAAATCTTAGAGTTGTTTAGGTATCAAATGTTTTTAACTATCTGTGTAAGGGAGGAGGCATCTATGAGCTGAGAACATTTTCGTGATGCCAGGCTACAGACAGTGCATGCTCTGGGGAGAAGGTTTTAAGAGACTATTCATATCCAGAATGGTATTACCCATTGGATGTCCCCAACTGTGGCTCTTACAGATATGAATTCACGTTCTCCAAATTGATCTAGTATCTTCCTCCACATCTGCTCCCCCTCTAACTGTGTGAATGACACCAATAGCCATCTAATCACCTAAGCCAGATACTTGAGAGATTGGCGGAGGAGTGGTCTTCCCCTTCCCTTATCCTTCCCACATCCTGCCATCTCTGAAGTCCTGTGGCATTCTTCTTCTTATTTCCATGGTCACCACATTAGTGGAGTCTCCCAGCCTTCCTGTCTCTCCTCCAGCTCCATCTGAAGATCGCTGTAGGTCTGGTCGGGGCACTCTTCAACTTCTGGTAGGCTCTAGTGGGACCCAGATCATATTTTATCAATGCCGTTAGGAACATGTAATAAGCAGGGCTTCATAGAAAAAGATTGTCATGGATGGGTCTCTCTACCTTCACGATTCTGCCTAGAATTCTTTTTACTAAACTCTGCTTATCTCACCAAACATCTGAGTATTAGTAGTGTTCACTCTTTCTGGAAAATGCTCCGAGACTCCTGTTCCTCTTGGGTTCTCCCAACTTCCCTCATCCTCATTAATTCTCATTAACTCCCATCCCACATAGTGATTGTTTTCAACAATCACTTCTCAGCAACAGTATTTCTACTTCCAGCAACAAAAACATCCATGGAGTTGCACGCACACATTCACGTACACATACATAGACATACACACATTGTTATTTATCCTATATTGCTAAATGCTCTACAGTGAATCATTCTGAGTACAGCATAACTTGCTTTTCAGTCTAAATAAGTGATAGTTATTGGCACATAGATAATTATGTCACCTCAGGTCAGATTCTTATCCTCATGAATTCAGATGAAGCTTTGCCTCCTTGATCGCACAAATTGTGGATCTCGTGCTTTCAGAGAGATGCTTTATAGTCTAAGAAATTATGTTTAAAAAGATTTGTGGTTTTGTTTCTTTTTCAGGTAACAATGTTATATAAGTTAGCTCCTTTTCTCTTTTATTTTAAAAACTCCTTGGGAGATGAAGGTGTGATAGCCAATGCCTGAGAACTGAATGTACTTTTTAATAGATTCAGAATTATTACATTGCACTGGGATGCAAAAATCCCTTTTCTATTTCTGCTTAGCGAAGCAAGTACTATTGGATGAATGACTTCAATAAAGGAAACTTGTCTCCAAATATTTAGTCCTCACTGTGTCCCAAACTCCTTTAAGATTTTTTTATTGGTATTTTCTAACACTTGTTAAGGGAGCATTTTCTTTTATGATGTCTCCAAACGCCAATTCCAAGGTGTTACATCATTATATTGTCAATGTGATACCTTTTCAATGATAGTTTTTCAATTTCTCGCAAAGTTTTAATTCTCTTCCAATTTCCCATACCTTTTGAGTGCTTCAGCCCCAGTCATTTTTTTCCTGCATATTAGTGGTGAATACAAGTGAGTCTATGAACTCCTACTTGTCAACTGTTAAAATTTTATCTTTTGAGGAAAAGACTAGCATTTGAAGCGTTAAATTTAACTTGGAGTTACTAGTGTCGGTCATGATGGACTCGCCAAGAGTTAGGGACAGAATCTGAAGGGGCAGATGCCTTCTTGTCTAGACATCAGAAAAGCTCCCAGATGTCCAGAACAGTCAGCTCTGAGTCTTTTCAGATTAAGGAGAGGCTCCCCTGGGGCAAACACATATTTAAAAGGATTGCTTGAAGCCACGAGGTTTGAGGTGCAATGATAAGCAGAGGGGGAGGTAGAAAAATAAATAGAAATGTTTGCCTCAGGAGGTAGTGTGGGGCAAAGACAGTCATAGGCCTGGCTTTAGGATGTCTCCCAGGGAGCCCATTATCTTCCTGCTGCAGATCCTCCTTCCACCCTTGTCCTGCTGGGAGGCCTGGCCATTTTGTATACCCCAGAAACAGCCCTTGAAGTCCAAGAACCTAAGAGCCTCGTTAGCACCGGATAGGCTCTCAGCTCTGATTTATAAAATAGGGAGATCGTTCACAGAGTCCAGCACTTTGACCCTACTTTGGGCCAGTGATTTGTGGCAGAGCCCACACAGGATAAAGGATCTTTGCATCTGAAGGGCACGAGGAATGGTGGTTAGATCTGAGAGTTATCAGCATCTGGTTTCAGTGGAATGAAATTATCCAAGGAGAGAAAGAAAAGTGTGAAGAAATAAAACAATGCCATTTAAGAGTGAATGAGTGAAAGAAGACAGTGAAGTGCAATTGTGTGGAATCTGGGAGGGAGAAAGGGCCCATTCTTTCTTTCTTTCTTTTTTTAGATGAGAAAATATAGCTTAATTAGGAAGTAAATTAGAGAGAGAGAGAGAAACAGAGGAGATTCACCTCCCCGAGGTAGGGGAGGGGGCCAAAGCCAGGAGATATGGCCTGGCCATAGCTCAAAGAGCACATGGCCACACCATAGCTTAGCAAGGCAACGGCCGGGGACCATTCTTTCTAATACTGCAACCTGCCATCTTACCTCTGCTCCAGACCTCCTTTATGCTAATCCAAGTTTATTCTCCTACAGTTTGCACCACTGCAGTACGATATAAAATACAATATGTTTTGTATAAAATGCAATATAATTTACTTTAACTTATTTATTGTGTTTTATTTTGTATCTTCTCTATCCCCATCCGTTACTGCAAGGTAAGCTCCATACTTTCCAAGCAGGTAGAAGAGTCCTTTGGAGGTGCTTAGTAATATGTATTGAACAAATGGAAAAAATAGTGTTTCAAGAAGTATGTCTGCTACAGACTGACTGTTCGTGTCCCTCCAAAATTCATGTGTTGAAAACCTTACCTCCAGCATGATGGTGTTAGGAGAAGGTGGTTTGCCCTCCCCAGTGGGATTAATGCCTTTGTAAAAGAGACGTTGAAGCATTGTCTTTTGAGAAAAAAATAAAATGGCAAGTTGTCCTCCAAAGCAGTGCAAATGCAGGTTGTTGGGAGTGAAAGCACACCAGAAACAGGAAATGAAAAAGGAATTTGAGGAGGTGTGGGTGGGACCCTCGCAGTTTCTGCTTCATGGACTTTGGGAAACATGAAGTAAATATTCTGAGTTCTCAGTAGATTAGAACATGAGAGATTTGTCTGTAGGGAGCCAAAGACATTTTTTCTATTGAGGACATTATTTTTTGTTAAGGGATTTTTAAAGTGTGAGCAGTTGATGAGAGGACCACAAGGGAATACTCTGTGTACATTTCGAACCAGCAGAGGATGGAAATCTCAGCCCCAATCCCCTCATTACCATATTATTGAACTCAAAACACTAAATATGAACAATTGAGAGACCTGGAAATCACACTTTCCTGTACAAATAAATCCTGCAAATCTTAAACTGGGAATTCTCCTGCACAATAACAGCAACTCCTTGATTATTTTAAACAATCAATACTGATTTACATCTACTCTGATTATTTTAATGCCAATTTATAAGTTTCTTTACACCTCAACCCACCATCAGAGATAACTCTGTTAACTCTTACTCCATTAATCTAGAGGACTGAGCACAGACGTAAATACATATTATATAACTAAATTATTAAGCTACCTGATTTGGGGAGGGGGGGGTGTATTGAATGCTTTTAGTGCTTTGTTTTCTATCTTATAAATATGATAGAGGAAATTTCTGCTAGTTCAAAATATCAAAGAGAACTACATTCCTTTCCACAAAAAATAAAATAAAAATATAAACCCATAAATCCTCACAGATTGCTTCATTTAATGTTCTTTAAATTGTGTGGCAATTTCAGAAGAGTTAAACATGGTAGATGTTTGTCATTTCTGGCAACATAATTTACATTTCATAAGAGGTGAGCATGACAGATACTATTTCCTGCAACATATTTAAATATGGTCTTCCCCCTACTTTGTATGCTAGAGTTGAATTGCAAAGGGGAGGGGTTGTATTCATCATTTTTTTCCATAGTAGTGCCATATAACTTGTCACCACAGCATCTCAGTGGTACTCACCAATAAGCATTTATTTTTAAAAAAGCACAGGTCTCTGGGTCTGCTGGGCTGGTTCTCCTTCAGGCTGCAGGGGGCAGGGGGGTGCTAGGGGTTATCTGGGCTAGATTGCTTCCACATGTCTTCTTCTGGGTCCAGGCTGTAGGGGTAGAAGCTACCTTGGACACGTTCTGCTCCTGGTAGTGGACAGAAGCTCCTAGAAGGAAAAATGGAAGCACTCAATACCCAGGATTGAGGTTCTGATCTGGCACACTGTGACTTCCACATTCCACTGGTCAAAGCAAGAAAACATGGTCAAAACCAGGAGTGGATAATAAACACAGCCCAACGGGAGGCTACAGCAAGTGTAGGAATAACTAAGTTCCAGGGAGTGAAGAACTGAGGCCAACAATTCCATCTGGCACAGTGGGGTTGTTGTTTCTGGAAATAAACACATCCTTGGCACACACTAGATGGTTTATTGACATTTAGTGCTTAAATTGGAGTTGCTTGATTTTGCTTCTTGATTCATCTGAGATTTCAAAGTTACTTTTTAACAAATTTACTTGAAGTAGTGAATGACAGTTTCCGATACTTAAAAACAAATCTCCAATTACAGATTGAAAATGGGATGTTCTGTGCTAGTTCTCCCTTCCTTGGTATGTATGAACATCTTCACTCTATTTCAGCCCCGAGGTCCTGAAGAGTGAACCGTACGGGGAGAAGGCTGACGTCTGGGCGGCAGGCTGCATCCTCTATCAGATGGCGACTCTGAGTCTTCCCTTCTTCAGCACCAACATGCTCTCCTTAGCTACAAAAGTAAGCAATGCCAGGAGACAGTAGGACCTTGTGTAGTTAAAAATGCCATTTTTTTCCTTCTTAAACAGACCTCTGTGATTTTTATATACCCGTCCATTAAAAGCAAGCATTGTTTTATTAACTGCATGATCGGTTCTTTTCTTATTTCTTCTAAATATATGTCACATGCTATGGCATATTTCCCTTTATAATTGTTTTCACTTATCATATAAACTTATAAAAATAAATATATCAAACTTCTTTTGGTCTCTTATTTTTAATTGCAGTTTGGACTAATCACAATCCGGCATATTTATATCATCTCACACATCATTTGCTTATGAATCTAAGGTTAACTTTAACTCAGCCTGAAAGATACAATTTCACATTCAAAAACTGTTTCATTGGTGTTAATTTTTTATTTGGTGGGGATGTTGTTATTTCTGACTGAGTTTGTGCTTGAAGTTATACTGCTTAATTAGCAAATCTCATGTCACAGCCAAGCCAGTGTTACTGGTCAAAGATCTCCAGGGCTCCTTGACTTCCATCATTCTGATCTGTTTGTTTTGTAGATAGTGGAGGCGGTATATGAACCAGTGCCAGAAGGTATCTACTCTGAAAAAGTGACAGACACCATCCGCAGGTAATTAGTCTTGCAGCTTCAAACATGTAGAGATAAGCAAGAATACCTCATAGCTATCATAAGTCACTGTCTATGGATAAATATGCACCAAGAGGAAAGGTCCCCAAATAATCCAATCTTGGAAAAATATCTGTGCACCATCGGGAATTGTGTTTGGAAGCCACTGAAGTGTCCAGGAAGAAGCTGTGCATTCACTTGAAAGATAATACCTCTGCTAGAGTGATTATTTGGAAGGCTTTTTATCAACCTGTAATAAAACACATGCAATGTGAAGCTAAGTAAAACACACAAGATGTAAGACGTACAAGATGCAAGGCTGTTTGTAACTATGACAAAACCCATAAAAATATGCAGAGAAACAGAAAAAGCCAGGACAAGACCACATGAAACTGAAAAAAACCGTGATAGATGATAAAATTGCAGGCACTTTTTCATTTCTGTTTTTAAATTGGTAATGTTGTATTGTATGATCATTTTTCAAAGAGAATCAGAGGCCCCAGCTATCAACATAGCAGGAGTTTTTTTTTTTTTTTTTTTTTTTTGTGTTGGAATCTCACTGTTGCCCAGACTGGAGTGCAGTGGCCGCTCCTGGCCACCGCAGCCTCGACCTGCTGGGCTCTGGCGATCCTTCCAAGTAGCTGGAACTACAGGTGCACGCTACCACAGCCCGGCTAATTTTTTTGATTTATTGTAGAGATGAGGTCTCGCCTGCCCAGGCGGATCGGATGTACTCCCAAGGCTCGGCCAGTCCCTTTGGGCCCCATAGGGCCATCCCTGCTGACCTCTCACCCACACACCCTCTCATTTTCCCTCCTGCTTCCTCTGTTCTGACCATAGGAGCTCTCGCTAGTCCTGGAGTGCACCCTCCTTTTAGACCTCTGTCCTTGTGGTTCCCTTTCTCTGGAACTCTCTTTTCTCAGATAGATGGATGGCACAGGCCTTCACTCCCTTTTGATCTTTGTTGAAATGTCCCCTTCTCAAGGGGTCCACCCTGTTGATCCTGCCACCTCTCAGCATACTCTAACCCCCTTACCTGCTTCATAAAGCTCACAGCACCACCACTCCAACATATTATACATGTGCATACACACTTTTATTTGTTGTCCACTTCTTCCCCACCAAGACGTACGTATTTGCATTAGGAAAATACTTCTATCGTATGGTGTGCAGAATTTGGAGAATTTGGAGGTAAAGACACAGTTGAGGGTTAATGTAAACTTAAGAGCAGGGACTTTGTCAGCTTAGTTTATAGCTGTTTAGTACACAGAGCAGTGCCTGGCACAGAGTAGACCCTTAACAAATAAAGGTTGTATGAATACGTGACTCTTGTTGATCTGGTTGATTGCTATTTCTGGACCATTTAGAAGCTTAAGTTGGCTCGATATGATTCCTTCACCCCATCAAGCTGAGCCAAATTCTCAGTATTCTTGACTGTAGAAACCCTGGAATCACCCCAGATAGAATCTTTTCACCTCCCTCTTCTGGAGTCTCTTAAAATTTGGTTTGGTATCTGTCCAAGCACTTAGCCCTACCTCTGATGGAACGCAGTTGACGTATTATTGTAGCAGTGTCTCTTCCCTTCAGTTTCTCCTCTCAGCCCATTGTTTGGACTAAGAGTTACCCCTCACCTGTTTGTTGGATTATAGTTGAACCTTTCCTTCTTTGACACAATACTGACCTACAATCTTTGGAGCCTCAGGCTCTGAGGGTAGGTCTGGCTGGGGCTGAGTCCTGTAAACCACAGACTCAGAACTGTTGATTTGACCCTTATTTCTACACCTCTGTGTCCTAACCTTTTAAGTAAAAGGAGATGATCACCCAATCTCATAGATGTAATGATTACACCAAGTAACATATGCAAGTCACAGCATAGGGCTTGACGAATGTTACATACTCGAGCTATTTTGGCAATTATCATTGTTAATATTCTGAGAAATGACCTAAAACCTCTCTAAATCATCTAAATTTCACATATATTGGATCTTGCCCTGTTGCTAGTGAATCCAGATAGACATATTTAAATTGCTCATCTCTACGATTTGTTCTATTCTGTTATTTGCTTTTTGAAAAGTACCTTTAAAATTGGCAAAGTCTCCAGTAGAGGTGTCAAGAAAAGTACCATATTTGCTCATGTAATTTCTCCTTTTCATAAGTATTTAAGTGCCACAAAGGGCAAGGGAGGGGTAGTGCAAAGAAAAAGGTACAGACACATTGCTCTGACTTTGTAAATCCACGTGAACAGAACCGTAAGTCTCTTTGGAAGTATTCCTTGGCTGTTGGTAACCTATGCCTCTTGGGGCTAGTAGATGAGTAGGGAGTCAGAGAGCAACACTGTAGTGTAAAATTTAGAGCATCACCAGGTCTGGAATCTATTGGATTCTAATCCCTCCTCTAACACTCAGTTTAACTTTCCTGAACCCCTGTCTTTTTACCTGTGATATGTGGGTAGCAGTAGTAATTGCTTCATGGACTCGTTTTGAAGCTTGAAGAAGACAATACTTCTGACTCGCTCAACACAGTACCCAGCATGTAGTCAGTTCTCAATAAAATTAGGTATTATTAGGGGACAATGAGAGATTACAGAAGGACCTAGCCTAGTCTGGAGATTTGGGAAACGTTTCTCTGAAGAAAGGAGATGTGATCCAAGCCCCTAGCAAGAAATAATTCTCAAATAGTAAACAGAGTAGAGAAAGACTTTCACAGACCAGCATCTGTGAAGGCCTTGCTGAGGGAGAGAGCTTGTTAATTTGAGGGACAGCCTATTAACTAAGGGAGGGGCAGGGGAGGTACAGAGGCCAGGTCAACTAGGCCCTGAAGGCCTTGCTGAGTGGTCTGAATTTTTATCTCGACCAATGAGGAGAGGACCAAAGGGTTATTGGCAGGCTGGGATGTAGTGAAAATCTCCTCTTCAGCAAAGATCTTGCTGGCTGTTCCATGGGGAACATACTGGGAGGGAGGGAATGTGGGAGGGAGAAGCAGTTCCACTTGTCCAGTGAGGAATGACAGTGGCTTGGATTGAGTAGTGCAGAGAAGTGGGATTGTTTCCACTATGGGTTGGAAATTGAGCCTGCACATTTGGAGGCACAACCATAAGAGGATTCAAAAGATGGAGTGACATTGGAAATATGAAAAGAATTGGATTTATTGGGAGGAGCTTGAGAAAATGGAGCCAAGACCAAGGTGGAAGTCCTGAGGAGGCTAAAGTTAGCTCACTCTTGATAAGTCTATGTTAGAGTTAGAGGTGTCCACAGTTGAGAAGGCTGCTTGGAAGGTCACAAGTTCACTGTCACCAGAATGATCACTTATTAGGGAACTTTAGATAAAATGTTTTTGAGGTTGCTTTTATTTCAAAATACTGAGACACCATAATCACAACTGAAAATTAAAATCTATAACTGACTATAAATTAAGATCACAGGGTGCTTTCTGTAATAAATTTATTTTTTTAAAGCTATTCAAGACTCCTCATTGTCTGGGTTCATAGCCAGATAAAATTTCATCTATAGACAATTTGACATAACCAGGTGCAATGGCTCATGCCTGTAATCCCAGCATTTTGGGAGGCAGAAGCAATAGGATTGTCTGGGCCCAGGGGTTCGAGACTAGCCTGGGCAACTTGGCGAGGCCTCACCTCTACAATAAATCAACAAATTAGCTGGGCATGGTGGCGCATGCCGCAGTTCCAGCTGCTTGGAAGGCTGAGGCAGAAGGATCTCCTGAGCCCAGCAGGTGAATCCTGCAGTGGTCGTGAGCGTGCCTTTGCACACCAGTCTGAGAAACAGTGAGACTCTGACTCAAAAAAGAAAAAAAAAAAAGAACATTTGACATAAAACCAAAATCAACCGTGAGTTCCGTATAGTTGCATATTTCGTCTGATTTTAGTATCAAAAAATAAAGTTCCAAAAGTATTAGGGAACAAATTCAAATTTCCTGTGTTCTTCATTTCCTATTTTCATTAAGGACATGATACAAGAGACACATGAAGGCAAAGTGTTCTGAGTGATTGGTTATGACTCAGCAGCATATCAGACTCAGAGCCAGTCACTCATAATTCCATAGAGCCTTTGAAACACCAAGAGTGGGAAAATTCGCTATAATCATTCTTAAACTGTGTAGTTGCTCACTACATATGTCATCTTTCTTCTAGGTTAGGGTCGCCTCATTTTTGCTTCCTCCATCCTTGTCAAGTAGAGCACACACAGTTTGCATTTCTAATGGGCAGCATCTTCCCTCCCTCCTGTTCGCTCCTGTAGTGTATAAGCACGTTTGCTGCTGAAACTTTTCTTTCCTAGCAGGCCTTTAAATTACGAGAATAATTTAGCAACCCCAAGAGTCTGGGGCAGAAAATAACCGTATTTGTTGTTCTGCCTAGTACCAGCATGACTATTTTTACCTTCCAGCACCCTGTTAAGAGAGTATTGTCTGTTTATGTTTTAAAAAAGAAGAACATTTCCTTTTATGCACAAAATATTCCAGTTGCCTTATTTTTCTCTCTCTGTGACTGGTTGCATAAGCTGTCTGGTGCTTTGTTTTGGAAGCAGTGATGACGACTCACAAAGCTAATGCTTTCTGCTGGCTCTAAAGACAAATGGATTTTTACATTTTTCACCCTACCTTTACTTCTGTTTCTTAAAACATGAAATGAAAACATTGGGACAAAGTATCCCTCTAATTTTTTCCATCTGGTCTCTCAGAGATGAGTGGGGACAAAGTTAATGGGGTGAGAGAAACAACCACAGCTTTTTCTAGAACAGGATTCATACTTATTTGGTTAGAGAATCATTGGTAATCTCCAGCATTTGTTATGACTGATTCTGTCTCTCTTAGGAATTTCTCTGAACGTAAGCAGGGATGTAAGCAGGCAGTTATTTCAGAGCAATGAGCCTAGACTGGAACTTCTGGTGGGAAATGTTTCTGAAGTGCAAAAGTCTATGGTCAAATATTTTGAGCTATAGTAGGTGCATTCTTTAGATGTTGGGCTGAGTTTGTTCATTTATTCATTGATTCAATCCATTCATTTGCTGAGGAACTATCAGGACCCAGATTTCATTTTACAGGCTGGGGAACTCATCGTAAAGGGATACCTGTCCCCTCACTCAAGAAGTTTCCAGTCTTGTGGTGAAACAGACCACAACAATGCAATAATTACACTAGTTTTAAGTACTTAAATGCAGGCGCTACACAGAACATACGAAAGGGAGACAGGAAGTCGGAGGACAGTCCAAAAAGTCTTCCTCATGAAGACTGGGAAAAGAGTGAGATTTCGACAAGTGTATATGGGATGGTGACTGGGAATGGGCCGATATCATTAGCAAAAATGTAAACAATTCGAGTGGATGGAATAAAATGAACAAAGAAATGCGGAGTCAGAGGAGCCAGGTGCTGTTTGGGGAGGTGCAGTTGAAGCTCTTGGTATGTTGCTGGGGGAGGAGAAGGAGAGGCGAAAGGCGATGAACCCAGTCCAAGAGGAACCTGGCATGGCATCCTGAAAATTCTGTTCTGCTGAGCCGTGAGAAGCTATTGGGGAATTTTGAGCAGAAGAGACATGTCGTCAGATTGGTGGATATTATGCATTTTGGCAGTAGCTTGCAGTAGGGATCAGAGGTGGACAAGAAGTGAGCATGTCATTTAGGAGACTCTTTCAGTAGTCCAGGCTAGCAATGATATAGTATACCAATAGCCATGGGATTAGAGGGAAAGCATACGGATTCAAGAAATATTTACAAGGTAGAAGCCACGGGACTTGGTGTTTGTTCAGTGTGGGAGGGAGTGGAGGAAAAACACAAGTGTGGATTTTCTTTTCAATTTACTGAGCTTTTACAGTGTGCCAGCACTTCACAGAGATGACCTCATTTAATCACCGTACCAGTTTGATGGTAGATGCGGTGATTATCCCGTTTTACAGATGAGCTGTCTGAGACTTAGAAGCTAAGTAACTTGTCCAATACCAGAGAATGATAATGTGTAACAGCCAATCACAAAAAGGTCAAAATACCCCCTCCTTTATGCTTTATAAGCTCTGCTATAACTGCTGTACAGCAAGCTGGTCTTTTCTTTTTTGAGTTGGAGTCTCACTCTGACATCTAGGCTGGAGTGCAGTGGCACGCTCACAGCCACCACAGCCTCAGCCTGCTCAGGTAATCCTTCCTCCTCAGCCTTCCAAGTGGCTAGAACTATAGGCGTGAGCCACTATGAACAGCTAATTTGTCTTGATTTATTGTACAGATGAGGGCTTGTCAAGTTGCCCGGGCTGGTCTCGAACCTCAGGACTCAGGCAATCCTCTCACCTCAGCCTTCCAAAGTGCTGAGATTACAGGCATAAGCTACCACGTCCAGCCTGGGCCTCATTTTCAGTTCAGTTCAAAGTCTCAGGATTTGGGAACTGTTATTTTTTATGCACAATAAACTTCTACAATTTTAAAACATGATCTAATTTTATTTTTGACACTACAAGCATCTTAAACCTGTAAGTAGCTAGACTGTATCTTATATTTAGGACTTTGTGTTGTGTAAGACTAATTAAGTGGTGTTAATATTGCTGGTGTTCAGCTGGAAAAGGCCAAGCATTGTGACTCCCAGAAAGCTTCCCTTTTTGTGGTACATCAAGGGTGATCATCAAGACCTATATTATTTGGCTCACTCTTTGTTTCACTGACCAGTTGATCAGGCAGTGATTTCAGAAAGCATCCAGCCCACACAGGAGGAGATGAGGCCATCTGCCCGTCCTGAGACCCAAGGAACAGCTGCAGGCTCAGCCTGTAACCTTTGCATCCCAGGCCAAGGACACAGAGAACAGTGCTGCCTTCGGTTCCTTCCCCAGTTTTCTAAAAATGTCTTTTGAGAAGTCCTGCGCTCAAAGTTATGCTTGATGTTGACCTTATCCCACATCCTCTTGGACGAAAACACCATGGTGACCCACAGTGGAGTTTAATCTTGATTTCTACACTTTATGGTCACATGATCTCTGGTGTTCTGATGTTGACCAGAGTGTTTTAATTAGCTCATCTTCACTTAGGTGCCTCACTCCTGATGCGGAAGCCCGTCCAGATATTGTAGAAGTTAGTTCAATGATTTCAGATATCATGATGAAATATTTGGACAACTTATCTACATCCCAGCTGGCCTTAGAGAAGAAACTGGAACGGGAACGGAGGCGCACACAGAGGTATTTTATGGAAGCTAACCGGAACACTGTCACGTGTCACCACCATGAGCTGGCTCTGCTGTCTCACGTAAGTGCAAATCTTTCAGTCTCTTCATGATGCACTCTAATGGGCTGTCTGATATTGTTTATGCTTGTTTTAAGAAAAATTCATCTAAAGTTAAAATAATTGCTTGTATGCAATATTTCAGTATCATCGAATTACATATTTCCATCCATTTCTGTATCTTATAAATAAAATTTAAATAATTCAATATATCTAAATTTCCAAAGAATTAATTTGTCATTTATTGTATATTGCCAAACCAGAAGTATAAAAAGTTCACTTAAGTTCTCTCAGCAATTCTTTAAATTTAAATTCTATTCTTTGTATAATTAGCAGCGAATGCTTATATTTAGTTTCTTTAGCAATCTGATTGCACCTTTTGGTGTTGCACTATTTGCATATGAATGAAAGTTTTGTGAGTTAATTCAGAGATGGAAATGATATTTGCCTTTAAAATTTTTCTTATTTGTCTGTGTAATTGCTTTCATTGCCGTTTGTGGTATTACTAATGTTGCCATGCTTCAAATTAGAACATGTCTTTCATTTTTTTTGTCAGGAACCTTTAGATTGTTTTGATATTTAAGCGTATTTTTGAACATTGCTTGAAAAATGCATACTGGCCGGGTGCAGTGGCACAAGTTTGTAATCCCAGCACTTTGGGAGGCCGAGGTGAGGCAATTGCCTGAGCCCCATGGGTTCCAGAACAGTCTGGGCAACTTGGCGAGACCTCATCTCTACAGTAAATCAAAAACAAAATTAGCCAGACGCGGTAGCGCACACCTGTAGTTCTGGCTACTTGGAAGGCTGAGGCGGAGGGATCACCTGAGCCCAGCGGGTTGTCGCTGGGGTGGCCATGAGCGTGCCACTGCACTCCAGCTTGGGCGACTCCAACTCAAAAAAAAAAGATAAAAAAAAGAAGTGCACGTGGAGGTACTGGTGAGGCTCTTGTTTCTGCCTCTCATTCTCCTCCTTCTGTGTCTTTGTTGCAGTCATGATTCATGACCTCTGGTGTTCTCATGCTCCAGGCCTCCACCCAGCGGGCTTCCCTGTAAGGGGCTCTTCAACCCAGTAAATGTTTTTCCTTCCATCCTGGGGGCTAGGCCCAAGACAATAGGATCATAAAGCCCATTCTTGGTCAGGGCACTTGGCCATGGAATTCTTTCCCAGCATCCTAAGAACCTGCTGTACTTCAGCTGGGAAAATTACATAGGACATTGGTTTCCAAGAGGCAGTTGCGATTCTTGAGTAAAGGCATCTTCAGTGAACTCCTTTCTAAAAAGAAGGAGAGAACTAATGTTTCGTGGGTTTGTCTTAAGGTACTTGGAATCCAGAAGTTAAAGATTCAAAACAGTTTTCTTTTGAGAGAAAACTCTTTCATCTCCATTGCCTTACATGCTGAGTCTAGTTATAGTTTTACAGAACAATCCATGATGACTATTAAAGTAATAGGTTTATATTTAGGAGCATATAACTTGGTGATATAGCTTTCATAGTTAACTTTTGTGCACAGGGGAGTTAGAGCTCACTTTGCTTAGTATTTTACCTCCTGACTTTGTAATAGCTAGGCAACAATGTGTGTAAGTCATGCTGCATTCCAAATATAATATTCCTGATTAGACTAAAATGCGAGCGATTTAACTATTTCTGTATGTTAGAAATATTTTAGAAATTTGGGGCCTTCTATTAAATTCTGCACTGCAAAGCTACTTAGCCAATTTCCAGTTGTATATAAAGAGTCATTTACTATTAGATTTGTGTGGTTGATGTGGGGGGTGGGTGGGTAGTTTACAATCTAACAACTGAAATCCTCTTATCTTGAGCAAAACATCTTGAGGAGGGCCATTTTATTTATTCATTCATTCATTCATTCATTTATTCTTCTCAACTTTAAAAAATTCTTTATTGTGGGAAATTTCAGACGTTTATTGAAGAAAAGAGTGCTTACTGTACCCACTCCCTGCTTCAACAAATAGCTACCTGGTTCTAATCCTGAATCACCTCTATCCCTACCCACTTCCCACTTCCTTCCCTCTCCAATTAGTTTGAAGCAAATCTCAGATGCCATATTATTTCACCCATCAGTATTTCCTTATGTATTTAGAGAGCCATTTTAGAGATCTAACTCTCAGTCCATGGTCATGTAAAATAAAGTCAGCGCTTTTATTAGGGGAGGGGGCTGAGGTTCTAGAGGTCAAGGAAGAGGTTCTGAAGTTTTAGAGGTTGTATACTCCATCTGTAAATTGGGAGAGGGGATATTACCTACCTCAGAAGATTTTAAGGTTAAATAAATTAACGTGTTTGATATACTGTGTAACTTAAAAAGTGGCACGAAAGTGTAAGATGGTATCCATTATGTAAAATGAGCATTGCTATTGTTAGGAGAATAGTTTATTAATGCAACTTGTTAATCCAGTGCTAACCTGTCCAGGTGGTCACCAGCATTAAATCTGTATATGTCAGTCATGCAGTTTATACATATTTATTGAGCACCTGCTATGAGCCAGCCTCAGTGCCCTCATGAGCATTCAGTCTTTTACGGATTATAGAGAAGTGCTTTCCTTTAAAGCAAAGCTTATTTTCCTGCTTTAAGTGGTCCTAAAATACCTTCTCCTCTTGCCCTATTTTAAGTATACTGATAATTTTTTCATTTTAAGATAACTCAAATGTTAACTAAAAGGAAAAAATGCAACTTTATGAAAGAACCAAGAAGGAAATATGATTGCTTTTCATCAGAAGACAGCATGCAGTTAATTGCCATTATACTCACTGGGACCAATTATTATTTTTTAAAACTTATGTCTACACCACTGCTGGCAGAAAAATTATAGGTGTAAAATTTTATGAGTCTTTTTTTCTTAAGCAGTATTATGATTGTTTCATTTCAAATATAGTGGAATGTTCGCCCAGAGCAGTTAATATCAATAATGCAGTTATGCAACCCGATGATAAATGATTGCCAAAGGAAAGAGAAATTAGTAGGTTCAGTAGAACTTTATGAATTCCCAGCACCAATAAGGAGATCCATTGTGAATTACTGACATTTTGCAATTAGTGGGTAAGCAGACAATTGGTAAGAAACATTAAAGTCTCCTTTTCATGAGGGAGTAGGCTATTCCCTTTCACATTTCAGCTTATTTTTAATTTTGGCAATTTTCATAAAAGGCTAGCAAAGAGAAGTACTAATACATACTTCAGAAGGACAGAGATGTCTTTACTAATAATGTTCACTCTTGTGTACCGCGGATGACCCACTGTGAATCCTGTTGAAGGACGTTAAGCTTTCTAATTTTGCCTCGCCTCGCCTTGCCTCACCTCTTCTTTTTGAGACAAGGTCTCACCAAGTTGCCTAGGCTGGTTTTGAACCTGTGGGCTCAAGCAATCCTCTTGCCTCCGCCTCCGCCTCCCAGTGCTGGTATGACAGGTGCGAGCCACGGTGCCTAGCAGATTTCTAATTCTTACAACGTAAAATAAGTGATTGTACGGAGAGCACAGAGTTGAGAATGATAAGAATCAATCAGTGTAAAATGAGGTAAAGTTTTTACTTGAATGTGTTATAATTAAAAGGGTTTTGTAATATAGAGGGTGTTGTGGCATTATAATAGTCAAAATCATGACCAGTGTTTTGGCATTCGCTGTACACAATGTGTTGAACACAGTACCCTTTAGGTAATGACTTTAGAAAAACCAGTTACAGATATCTCTAAAGAGTGTACTGCTTAGGCCCTCTCAACAAATACAAGGATGAGCATTAAAAATGTTTTGCCTGGACCAGGCGTGATGGCTTAGCCTGTAATCCCAGCACTTTGGGAGGCTGAGGTGAGAGGATTGCCTGAGCCTGGGGTTTCAAGACCAGCCTGGGCCACTGGGTGAGACCTTGTTTCTACAATACATCATAAAACAACAACAACAAAAAAAAAACTAGCCAGGAGTGGTGGTGTGTGTCTGTAGTTCCAGCTACTTGGAAGACTGAGGTGGAAGGACCACGTAAGCCCAACAAGTAGAGGCTGCAGTGACCGTGAGTGTGCCACTGCACTCCAGCCTGGGCGACAAGAGTGAGACTCCAACTAAAAAAAAAAAATTTAGCCTGGAAAAACTGGAGAATCAATGGAAAACTTCGATTACATTCGAATTATTGAAATTTTGTAGACACAGTACTTCAGACTTACTGGAGACCAGCTCCAATACGAGGGTTAGGGCCCGAGGCGAGAGAATCAAGAACGGCGAAAAAGAAGACACAAGTCAACTTTCTGGGTTGAGTGTGGGACTCTTCCAAAGTTTATTCAATTTTCACATGCTTATATAGGACATTTTCAACCCTTCAACCCCCTCACATATGTGCCCATAAATGCTTGCATTACGTTTTCTTTTACAATCAAACGTTTTACAATGATCTATTTGTTCCTCCCTGTCCCTTTTTATTCCCATTATGTTAAATCAGTAGACAGGAACGAAAACAACTTCTGCTAAAAATTGTTAACTGTAACCTTTTAACCCTCACCCCTTTTATAACATATTTCTAACTAAATTCTTACATGTATCTTAGCAGCAATATATTGCGTTTACATTTATAACTAATTTTATTATTTCTTAATTATTTCTTATAAACTTTCCTATTATGCATCTATCTTTATTCTTATTTTGCTTATATGAATCATAATCTAATAATACTTAACAACCTTTATATGAATTATATTTGACTACTCATATTCTATACTTATTTCCTATTTAATTATATTTTATCTAATTATTTTTAACCATTATCCTATTTTTATCTATATAACTATTCTATTTTATATTATTATACTTATACTACTAAATCGTTTTAACCTTACAAATTTATATCTACTATGTCTATACTTTCTTAAATTATGTTTAAAAGCAGCTGCCCTCAGGATCGACTTGTCTCAGTTCTCACAAACTTCCTCCTCCCTCTTACCCGTCTAAGGTGTTAATTTAATATACAGTCTGTTAGCCATTAAAAATAAAGAATGGGAAAGTTTTTTATTTTCCTTATACACTTTTAC